GTTTTGGAATTCAAGGGTTTTTCCCTGAGACCAAAATTGGGGGGGAAAAACACCGGTTTGGAAAAGGGGTTAACAGGTGGGGTTTTTTGCCCTTTTCCTGTTTTCATTAGATATAGAGGGGTGTGGATGCTGAGGTGACGGAAATCGGAGGGCGCGACCCATTTGGTACAAGACGGTCGCGCGCCTCGCCGCTAGGACAGTGGCAGCCACCGCGCAGCGGCGCGTGCCACTGTTTTTGTCCGGAGTGAAAAGTCCAACGCGCTCGTCGGTGACGGTGTCCTCCAATCTGCGCCGCGCTCGGCGAAGCAGCCACACAAGTCAGCTTTGGGAGCTCTCGGCGACGCCCAATGCGTGCGCCGGTAGGGGGGAGTGTGCGCGCGCATGTGTGAGATGTGGATTGTGGCAGGCCTGCTGCTGCTGATGGGAGTTGCTCTGTGTGTGGCGCTGCGCTGGCGTGCTGCGCGCGCGTGCTGTGCGCGTGTGCGTGTTGGATCCGCGCGTGCGTCTGCGTGTGCTGCGCGCGCGCCGCCGGTGTGTGCTGTGTGCTGTACTCTGCTGTGCGCCTGTTTGTGAGTCTTTGAGGCGCAGACCTGGCTGGCAGGGCTGCGCGGTGGGCTGCGGCGCGCTGCGGGTGGTTGTGCGCCTGCCTGGTGGTGTGCGGCGGCCGCGCAACCCGCCCGACCGGGTCGTCGGCGGCCCAGGGCGCGAGCATGCGGTCGGCGCTGCATGTGAGGCTGCTGCGCGGCTGGCGCGTATGTTTCCGTGCAATGAGGGACGCGCGTATGTGTTCACGCTGCGGGCGCGGGCGGGCGCGGGGGGCGGCGTGGTCTCACCGCGGTCCGACGCCGATTGGTCTTCGGCGTGACGAGGGCGGGCGCGCAAAGAGGCCTTGCCGCCACGCGTTGCCGCGAAGGAAGAAGAATTCTCTGACTAGGGTTGTCAAACGTTAAGAGCTGAACAGTGTTGCTAGTGTTATCTGTTAACAGTAAGTAACAACAGAACAACAGTGGGGCTCCCCAACAACAGTAGCTAACGTTAGGCCGGCTGAACAACAATAAGGAAGGCCTGGCAGTGACCCACGACGATCTCCAGCGTCCAGTGCGGGTAATACCCGAAAATACCCGGGAAACCCCTAGGGGTATTTTCGGGGTTTACCCGGGCTTTTTTGGCATTTTCTGCTTGCTGACCACTGAACAACAGTAACAACAGTAACAAACAGTAACAGCTTGGGCTGGGGAGAACACTTGAACAACGTTGAGGATTTCAGCCAACAATAGTGCAACTGTTGGGCCCAAAGTTAACGTTTGACAACCCTACACCGGACACGACACACGTGCGTGACACGACACACGTGCGTAGTGTACGGCTCGCGTAGAGAGTACGTAACAGTACGAACATAGAAGACACATCTACTTCTTCTTCTTAGCAATATGGGCTCCTCTCGCCGCCCTCGTCTTCTTCGCGGGCGACTTCCTGCTGCTTGGAGGCGTCGCCGCTCCACGCTTTCGGGGTGACTTGCCGCCGCGCCGCTTCTGAATGGCCTTATCCGGCCCGCCGCGCGTCGCCGCCGGCTTTGCTCGCCGCGGCGGCGGTGGCGTGAGGAGCAGCACGTCTCGCTCCCACGAGAACTGCGTGTCGCTCGCGACCGCCAGCGCGGGGTGCGCCGACCGCTCGCCTCGCACGTTGACACAGTGCACGCCGAGCTGCCTGCAGCGGCTCAGCAGGTAGGCGTAGTCGCCGTCAGACGCCGCCAGCACGACGCTGCGCGGCCTCTGCCCCCCCGCCGCCGCATAGATGGCGACGTCGACGAGCACCTTCTTGTCGAGCGCCTCTTTCTTGTCGCTGGTCGGGCAGTCGACGATCGTGAAGCCGAGCGCTTCGAGCGAGGCGCGGTGCTGGACAGCGACATTGCCCGACCGTTTTGCACTGTCGTGGTAGACACGGCACTGCTCCACGCGCCCAAAGCGCCGTGCGAGCTCCAGAAGGCGTCCGACGGCTGCTGCGCCGGCCTCGAGCGACGACGGCAGCGCGAGGCTCTCATAATCCCAGGCGAGGATGCAGTCGCGGACGGCGGCGAGCTGAGGCGCCAGAGCAGCGGCGGGCTTTTTGGCGGCGGGCTTCGAGCGCGCCATGTCGCAGAAGCAAAGCAGAGAACAGTATTGTCAGGCGGTCAAGGGGCTGGAGGAGGAGCCAAACCAGGGCATAGAGTCAACCCAGCGTAACAGAAAAAGAAGAAAACGCACAGGCCCCTGAGCCAACGAACGGGCACACGCACCCCCCCCCCCCCACACACACACCCACCCGCACGTCTTGTCAGCGCGTCGCGTCCGCATTCGGGTCGGCGACAGAGAGGATGTGCACGCAGTGGCGGTTGCTACTAGTGACCCAGAGCTGGTCGTGAGCGTCCAGGCAGATGCCGTAGAGCCAGCCATCGCACGGCGCGGGCAGCACCTGCAGCGGCTCGCCCTCGAGCGACAGCGCCTGCAACCGCTTGCCCGTCCGCTCAGTCACGTAGATGCGGCCGTGCGCTATCTCGATGCCGCAGGGGTAGTTGAACTCGCCGGGCTCGCCACCCCGCCTGCCGAAGCTGCGCAGAAAGGCGCCGGACGACCGGTCGAAGACGCTGATGCGGTGGTTCCACGTGTCGCACACGAACACCTCCTCGCCGGCGCACGCCACGCCGCACGGCTGGTCGAGCTGGCCAGGGCCGCTCCCGCCCTCGCCGCCCTCGCTGCCATCCTCGTCGCCGCAGCCAATGTGCCGCAGAAAGGCGAGGCTCGTCTTGTCAAAGACACTGATGCGGTGGTTGCCCCACTCGGCCACGTAGAGCTCATCGCCGTGCAAGCAGAGGTCCTGCGGGTCCTGCAGTTCGCCGTCCGCCTCGCCCAGCCCGCCCATCGCGGTCTGGCGCGAGGCCCACGGCCTCCGCACGCTCACGGCCGGGCGGCCCACGCCGGGATCCGCCGCCGTCCGGGCAGACTTTGCCGACAGCTGCAGCCGGTTGACACGATGCGCCCGCGTCGACTCGGCCCAGTAGAGCGTGTCTCCCTCGGGGCCGCCGATCGCGACGCCGGTGGGCGTGGTGACGCCCTCGACGATGCGCACGCACTCGCCGTGCCGGTCGAAGACCTGAATGCGCTCGTTGAGGCCGTCCACGATGACAGCGCCGCCGGTCTTCAGCGCGGCCACGTGCCGCGGGCCGTCAAACTGACCGCGGCCGCTGCCCCGCTCGCCCACGGTCCGAGACAGCCGGACGACGGAACTGCTGCTGGTGGAGGTCGCGAACAGCGAGAGGAGGAGCATCGGAGCGCAGGGTTGAGCGTCTCCCCGCTCGATCGCGTTAAAACGGGTTATCTTTTTTTATTACCCCTCCTGATTAAAACTCGTGGCAGGAAAATAAATACCCTGCGACCGCCTGGCTGGGTATCGTGCCGATTTCCTCAATTTTGCCTCAGATTTTGCCCCAGACCAGCTCTCAGACTCAGGGAAACTCGCGAGTTTCCAGAATGGAGCACCAAACACCAAACACCCTCTGTTCCTCTTTCCGGAAACGCAAAGTGCTGGGGACCCTCTGTTTTCCTTTTTGTTTGCCGGAAAAGTATATGCAGGCCAACGATACAAACACAAAACTGCTAAAAATCTCTCCCTCACGATACAATGAAAATGAAAAAAGCGCTTGCCCTTCGGCGGTTAGTGGTGCACTAACCTCCGAGAAACCCTTCGGGTCGCTCCTCATCGCAAACCCTGTCAGCAGAGTCCTCCTACGGGAATGTACAGTGGTTGCGGGCATTAAGAAAACGTCCCATTAAGAAGAGAGAGAGAGAGATTTTTAGCAATACCAAACAACTCTGTCATTAAGAAACCCTACCAAGCGATTTCCGCGAAAATCTAAGAAACCACGGCGCGCCGCAGGCGCGGCCCCGAGAAAAGGCCAGACACGAATGTGAACGGGAGCCCCAGCTGAAGCGCAAAATTTCTCTTCGCCTGCGGCGCGCGCACTTGTCACTTTTCAAGTCTTCTGCGGAGTTCTGAGTGGAGTGGATGGAGGCGTGTGTGTGTGTGCGTCTTCCCGTCATCCAGAGAGCCGACTCGGCGGCAGACTCTGGCATCGCCCTCGCGGACCGCAGCTTAATACCTCCGCAGCTTCTTTAATACCTAAAACTCCTTCGGGCCGGGGCTCTGGCTTGATTGAGTGCCCCGGCCGGAGCTAAGAAACCACGGCGTGGGGTGGATGAGGGCTGTGGAAAGGCTTAGAAACGGCGGCGGGCCGCATATCCTGTTTTCTTAATGCCCGCAACCCACTGTAAGAGCTCTAAAAAAAAAGATAGGTGTCGGCTTCCAACTGGGCGGCCCCCCCTCCCTCAATCCCTGTCAACCGCTGGAGGCAGCACACCTCCCCACACGCCCCACACACGTGATTGCAACCCGGACACTCTCGCCCGCGATACACTCCGCGTCGATGCGTGAGATTGGAGCGTGTAGCGGTGCCGCCAGCGAGCGCCCGTTTCCTGACGTCACAGTTGGGTTGGTGGCGAGCAGCGCCGCATGCGCCTCCTGGTCCTCCGCTCCGCGTGGGGCCTACGCGGCCTGCGGGACGCGCCCGCTCGCACCCTCGCGGGCCTGCGCTCCGCGGGATTCGACGGGCTGGAGGCGTCGCTTGAGGACCTCGGTGCGAGCGCTGAGGCCCGGGCAGAGGCTGTGCGCGCGGCGCGCGATGAGGGCCTGTCGCTGATCATCTCCGCGTACTCGTCGTGGGCCAACTACGAGGGCCCAGCGACCGAGCAGCTCCTCAGTGCGCCGTCCGGCGCGAGCCCTCCCGCCGCCGCCGCCGCGTCGATCCCGCTCCCCGCCTTTTCAGGCCCGCCGTCCGCCCACCTCGACCGGCTGACGCGCGAACTCGAGGCGATTGCCGAGGCGAGCGTCGCCGCCGGGCCGCTCTCGCCGGTGCTGCGAGTCAACGCGCACTCTGGGTCCGACGCCTGGAGCGAGGACGAGGCTGCCGCCTTTCTCGCCTCCGCCGTCGAGGCCGCCTCGCGGATCGGCGAGGCGCTGCCGCCGGTCAGCCACGAGACGCACCGCGGGCGCGCGCTCTGCTGCCCGTTTGCGACCGCGCGGCTGCTGCGCCGCGTGCCGCAGCTGCGCCTCACCTCGGACCTCTCCCACTGGGTGGTCAAGACGGAACGGATGCTCGACACCGCGCCGGAGCAGGAGCTGCTGCTCGGCCGAGTGGCGCCCGCCGTCGACCACCTGCACGCGCGCGTCGGGACGCCGCAGGCGCCGCAGGTGGCGAGCCTCGCCGAGAGCGCCACCACCGCGCGCGCCGCGGAGCGCTTCTACGGCTGGTGGGAGGCGTGCTGGGCAGCGGCAGAGGCGCGATCGCTCTCCTCGCGCGACTCGACGCTCACGGCGACCGTCGAGTACGGCCCGGCCGAGCTGGGGGAGGATGGGCAGGTGCTGGCCGGGTCGTACTCGCCGCTCGACCTGCACGGGCGGCACGTGAGCGGGGTCGGCCTCGACGATACGCTCGCGGCTGCGGCCGCGGCGCTGCGGAGCCGCTTCGAGCGGTGGGCTCGCGCCAGTGCCGCCCAGCGCCGTGCGGTTGCAGCGAACCTCTCACCCCGGCCGCCACTCCCGCCGCAGGTGGCACGCGAACGCGGCGAGCAGGGTGGCGGTGCTGGCGTGACGCGATCGAGTGGAGCGCGCTGCGGCATGCACACGTGTAGCTTTGCTCGTGCACGCAGACACTTGTCGCCTAGCTGTACGCAGTGGCATCGCGGGCAGGGGCAGCACAATGCATGCTGAGACCTAATATGGCGCCGGGGGCGTTGTCGATTGTAACTTGTCGTCGGTGACGGTGTCTCTCGTACTCTCGATCGCTCGCCGGGACGGACGCGCCGCGGGGCGCCAGTCATGGAAATCTCTAGTCTTTCTTAGAGATTGAGAGGAGTGAGACCTGAAGATTTCAGGGCAGATCTCAGTCTCTAGTCCCGCCCTTGAGATCTCCCAAATCTTCGTCGAGACTTCAGCCACGAAATCTCAGTCTTCCCGTCGCTCGGTGTGAGTTTCTAGAGGAAGCGCGTGAGATCTCAAATGGACAAGATTCCTTTTCGCTTTTGGGAGTTTGAGATTTCGATGAGGGGTGGGAGAGACTGAGACTGCAAGCAAGAGAGATTCCGTTTTCGATGCAGAATGCTGTGAACTTCCTCAACCTTCCAACGCCTTTATCTCGCATCGTTCGAAAAACATCACTTGCGGGACCACCGAAATCTACTCGAGTATAGGGCAGCGTGACTCGAGATTTGAGATTGAGACTGAAAGAGGCACGCTCGGCTTGCAATGCTTTGCGCCGCCGACACCGTCCATCTCGCCGCCGGCCTGAGGCGGTTCTCCACGAAGCTGTGGCCGCTCGAGAGTGAGGACGAGATCGTCGCGCTTCTCCTCGGCATGGCCCGCTACCCAGTCGACACACCCGACCGCGCAGAGCTCATCGCTGCCGACATGCAAACAAAGCACGCGTCCACGACCATCAACGTCCTCGTCAGCAGCATCGAGAGCGAGGCGGGCATCAGCGCTCTCGTGGATCTTCTCGACCGCAAGCGCTTCCATGAGCAGGAGAAATCCACGCCGCTCCACCTGGTCCCGCAGATTGAGTTCTGCGCCGTCTGCGCTTTGCAAGGGCAGAAGGTGTGCCTTGTGGTCAGCGACGAGCCCGTCCATCCGACCGTATACTGCACGCACGGGCGCTTTGGCGGGCTCCTCTACTGCAAGCGCTGCCCACATTGCCGCGCCAAGCACAACCTCTCATACGCCGAGGAGTCAGCTCGGCTGGCTCAGGGCAAGCAGGTGCCGTATGACGGCGCGATGGATCAGACTCGCAAGTACGTCCAGCTGTCGCGAGACATCATCTTTGAGGGCGAGATGCTGTGGCGCCTCGACACGCAGATGCTCCACTCGCACACCGGCTTTGAGCCGTACGCCAAGGAGTGGACGACCTTTGCCGACGAGCCGCCGCAGCTGGTCGAGCCTTTGCGGATAGCGCTGTCCCACGCCTGGCTCGCGTGGACGCTCCTCCGCTGGCGCGACGAGCTCCAACTACCCAAGGAGCCGCTGAGCTTTGCGTCGCCCACCCACCTCGACGAGACCTTGCTAGACTACACCATGCGTCGCGACCCAAAGACCGGCCGCTTCGACGCTGACTCGCTCATCGTTCGCTTCACCGACAAGTGGGGAAGGGAGCACGAGCTCGTCTGCCTCGAGCCCAAGGACGGCGGTCGAACCTGCTTGTGCTACATCATTGACGGACACATGAAATGCCGGAGGCTGATCTGCGAGAACAGGCGATTCGAGCCGTGAATCAGGGAAGTGTCGCGGACTTCGTCTCAACAAGCGTCCATGTTTCTGTAGGAACGCTCGAGTCGTCCACCTCGGTGCACTAGCCACCTACTGGTAGCCCCGCCCCTATACAGTATTCCGGTTTGCAATGTCCTCGTTCCTGTTTGCAATATCCTCGTTCGCGGCATCGGCTAAAGCCTCTCATCTGCGTAGACCGCGCGCGCAGCGCGCTCCGTGTTTGCAGACCGCCCTGGCGGACTCGTTTACACTTCCAAGCTCAGGCCAGGCGCCGCAGGCCATAAAGAGGAGCGCAGATTAAAATGGCGCCGCAGGCTCCCCGGGCCCCAAATCTCAATCTCAAATCTCAATCTCAAATCTCAGACCCAATCTCCCGGGCCCCAAATCTCAATCTCAAATCTCAATCTCAAATCTCAGACCTCAGACCTCAATCTTCCTGCAGGTCAAACCCACCCAGCCCTTCTAGAAGCTTCGAGGCTCTTATCAGTATTCACACCGCAAATCTCCAAATCTCAGCTCTCAAATCTCTAGGTTGGAAGGCCGTCCAAATCTTCAGTCTCAAATCTTGGATCTCGAGCAAACTCGACCGCAGATTCCTTTTGGTGTGCGAAATCTCATTCTCCAAGTCTCTGGTCTCTAATCTCAAAGTATCCCACCGGAGGCCGAGTGACTGAGGTCTCAAGTCTCAAATCTCTGGTCTCAAATCTCTGGGTAGCACTGTAGACCCGAGTGGAGTCTTTCAAATCTTTAAGCTCTCAATCTCTAAAAAAGACTAGAGATTTCCATTACCCCGGGGCGCGGCGCGGACGCACCGCCGGCGCCGCGGGGCCCGACAACACATTTATTGAGATACATTCATACAACCCGTGTTGGCCGTACGGCGGTTTAAAATCAAAAATGTCGCGGCTCGCGCCGCGCCGGCGCCGCCGCCCGCGGAACAAATTTGTATTTCCGTACGGCTATCCCCAGCCGTAGCAGTACAGTAAACAGTACGAAATACGCGCGAATTTACGTAAGACGACACGCGCCACGCACGCTCACCGCGAGGCCGAACGCCCCTGCCGCATCGGGGGACGGGAGACTCGACTCTCGACATGCATGTGGTGGAGCGTGTGGTCGAGTGTGGGCCCCACACGAGCGCCAGAGCGGCCAAGGGCAAGGCGCGCGCCGAGTCGCGCTGCACACAGTTGTAGCTCACACACTCTCGAGTCACAGGACTGCAGTCGGCAGCTCGGGGAGGCCGGCAAGGAAGGCGTCCAAGCTCTTCAGCGCGCGCTCGTATAGCAGCGAGGTCTGCCCAAAGCCTGGCGCGAGCCCCGCCTCGTCGCCTGCCAGCCCGGCGCGGTCAACCTCATCGAGCGCCGCCAATGCTTCATTCAGCTGAAACTCGGAGTCGTACCGGCGCTCCTCGTCCAGCGCTGTGCACAGCCAACCGCCCGTTCGGCGCAGCGTCGCGCGCGCCTCGGCCGCCGCCGCGCTCAGATCCTTTGCGCTCCGCTGCGTGCGCAGCCCGGCGAGCGTATTTTGCAGGCCAGAGAGTGACGCCACCGCAGCGCGGTAATCGCCTTCCGACACCACGACCGATTCGGCGCCCTGCTTGCGATAAAGCTTTCCGGTCTCCCAGAACACGCCGCGGCAGCGCTCCGCCGTCACACCCGGGATGCAGTAGGTCGCGATCGGGAGATCAGCTCGCGCCGCGATCGGCAGCAGCGCGCACGCACCCGCGCCCGTCAGGGCGGATCGACGCGAGGAGGAGAAGGCCAGCAGCATGTGTGTGTGAGCTGTGAGCCAGTGGGTCGCACTGGCTCGTGCGCTCGTTGCGCGGCCGTCGGGCGGGGCTGCCCCCTTCCCCCCACCCCCGTCCATGGAGGCCCCCAAGCGTCCACGGAGACCCCCCACGGAGACCCCCCAGCAAGGGAGAAGGGGAAGAAGGAAGAAAGACCCCTCAATTACAGGTTCACAGGCGAGAAGCGTCCACCGCGGACGCCGCTAAAATCGGCGACGAAACTACCGCCTCAGTCCGGTCAGGGCGGGGACACATGTCCCTAAATCCCATCTCGTCTCAGAGTTTGCCCGTTTTATTTATTTATTCAGTCCGGTCAGTCGCCGCCGTCGCCACCGTCGCCCTCGCCGCCCTCGCCGCCGCCGTCCGCGCCGCCGCCGTCGCCGCCCTAGCGCCGCCGTGGGGCCGTCTCCCCCGCTCAAGTGCGGGCTGCCGGCTGCTACGCCGTGTGGGACACGCCCACGACTCTGCCTGGGGGAATGGCCGCATCGAGTACCTGCAACGGATGGTTGGAGGTACCCCCAAAAAAAAAACACACACACACACAAACACAAACACACACACACACACACACACACACACACACACACACACACACACACACACACACACACACAACACCTTCGCCAAGGAGGACCATCTTGACAAAAGGCGAGCGCGAGAGCGAAGGGTCGAACAAGGGTGTTTAGATTTATTGCTTGTGTTATGAGTTTGTTTGTTGTGTTATGTGGACTTGGCAAAAACACATAAGAGCGCGCTACTTTTGCATGAATAGGACTGTGTGCATGATGCAGGGCATAGGACATCGCATTTAGTCACGTCTGCGGCGGGTCACGTAGGGGGCAAGCGCGGCCCCGCCTGCTCGCGCGCCGCCTTTTTGCGCTGGTCAAGCTCCACCCCATCAATCTTGTCGTCGTTATACTCCTCCAACGCCGGCTTCAGCAGCTCTTTCCGGCGCCGGTCGATGGCCGCGTCCGAGGTGGTGCCCCTGCGACTCCGAGCGGCTGCGCTTGCGCGGCGTCGCCGTGTCATACTCGAGGTCGATCGCGTTCTTGCGCTTCTCGGCTTCGCGCTGCTCGCGCGTCGTCTCGCCCGTGACGGCGACCTCGTCGGTAAGCGGGCTGGGCTGGAAGATCTGCACACCATCGGCCCGCGCCCACCGCTCGTCCGCCTTTGCACAGTACCATGGTGCTCGGATGTCCTCCGGCGCCTGCGCGTCGTCTGTCGCCGACCACCCCGCTACAGCCTCGGCTCGGCCGATTCCGTAGACCATCCGACGATCCACTTGTCCGGCTTGCCACCCGTGCCCTTGAGGTGCCACATGGCCACTGCGTCATCATCAACCTTCACATACACTGGCCGCCTGTTGACTTTTTTGCCAGCTGCAGTCTTCGCGTACGGCCGAGTCCACGCATACGGTCTCCGCGGGTGGGCCCATGCAGCGACGGGATGGGCCCATGCAGAGCGATTCTGCTGCACATGTCGAGCTCGATTCTCATGTTCGGGGGGACAAGTCTGGATTGCGATCGGCTGTGAATGTGAACGTCCCGGCAAACGAACGTGTGCATGTGATTCGATCACATCACGCCCTCCCTGGCCGTAGTGTGTTGACAGCACAGGTCTTCTACCCTTATAAGTCTCTTGTGCCGGAGCGCCGACCGCTCTTGAAGCCGCGAACCAGCTCATTCAAAAACTCGGCCGTCCCGCCGCAAATCGTCGGCCTCAGCTCGGGAGCCACGGCGCGCATGGGGGGCAAGGAGCGAGAGCGCGAACCGCCACCGGCCACCGACGACGAGGATGCGACGCAGGCGACCACGCAGGAAGGCGACCACGCAGGAAGGCGTCGTGCGGGAGTCATCCGGCAAGCGCAGCCGACAGCGCAGCATCACCAGATCACCGCTGGGCTTGCAAGCGGCGCAAAGCGAAGGGCCGCCGCCATGTCGCAAGGGGAGCGGGCGGCGAAACGAATGACCGATCAGCGGCGACGCCGCCATGAGCAGCGTGGGAAATCACAGCCAGCACCGATCACCTTTGACGCTGCGGTGGCAAAGGTCGCGTCGGAGGCAGCTCTCGGCGTGGTTGAGGTTGAGGATTTCCGCGACTGGCTACTCGACCCACAGCAAGCTGGACAGCCGATGGATGGTGAACGCATCACCGAGTGGCGCGCATCCGAAGAGTACGAGCGCGCCCGGCTCGAGTACATGGACGGTTGCATGTGCGAGGGTGCGTGCACGTGCACCTACGATGGCGTAGGCATCGCCCCAGACGTGCCCGGAGTCACCTGCGACTACTTCGACGAGGCGCTTTTGGAGCCGCGCGACAACGACGGGCAGCCATCAGGCGGGGATTGGGTGCCGGAGGGCTGGGATGGCGTCGAGGCCGATCGGCATGAGGAGCGGGCTAAACTCGAGCGTGCCAAGCGGATTGAGCGAGAGAAGCAAGACGACCTCGCACACGCTTCAGAGAAAATTTGGGTGCAAGATTCTGAGACTGGTGATTGGCGCCTCTCCACCCGTGGCAGCATTGCCAACTTTCGCAACCGCCGTGTACAAGCTTACACGGGCGATGCTGCTGAGGCCGATGCATACCTGCGCGACCCGGGTTCAGAGGCGTCACAGGCATGGCTCGAGGCGCAGCTTGCTCCAGGCGGTGGAGGTCCGACACCGCCTGGCTCGCCCGCCTACGGGGATGACTGTTACTTCTCCCACCCGGACTCGCCAGTGAGGCGGCCACGCGAGGAGGCGCCTGACGACAGCGACGCATATGAACTCGACCAGGAACGCGCGCTGGAGTTGCAGGGGCGCATCTCCTTATTTTACGGCCGGCCTTGGGACGAGGTGCCGAGAGGCGCGACGGTGCCAGTGACTTGCGAGTGGACCATCGCATCATTCAGCCGACAGCAGCAAATGCAACGCCCGCTCTCGCCCGCACCGGTAGCCACGGACTTTGACATTGAGGACAAGTTTCTGCAAGAGCGTGCGCGGTGGTTCCGCGACCACGGCGGTGGCGGCGAGCTGGAGGGCTCGACACGAAAGCAGAACGAGGCATTCCAGCGCTTGAAGGACCGCCTCTTTAGCCTTCGCCGCGACCGCGCGAACCCGTCGGGCACACCGCGTGCCTCGCAACGCCGGGCATCGGGCGCCGGATCAAGCACCGACCCCCTTTGAGACTGTGGATGATGCCTGGGACTCGAGTCTGGTTGGAATGGAACATCGGAAGAGCTTTGCATTAGCCATTACGAATTATTAATTGCGAAAATGTTACGAGCGAGGTAAATCCGATGCCGTTTGCACAGCACTCTCGAACGTCGGTGGAGGGGATAAGGGATAAGTGAGTACCTGTGTGCCAGGAGAAAAAGGCGGGGACCCGCTGCAGGTCCCACACTAGTATCTCTAAATGACAGCTGTGAATGTGAACAGCCCTGACGAAGATAAAATCATGGCCGCGAAGCGTCGCCGAGGCTCCGACGAGTCAAGCACGCAGAGTTCCTCAGCCGCCATCACCCTTGAGTGCAGCACCGCAGCGTCTGCGGCGATACGGGAGGATGGCCTTCGCACGGCGATTGCAGCCCAGTGGCGCGAAGGCACCCTCTGCGACGTGGACCTCCTTGTCGAGGGCACAGCGTTCAAGGCACACCGCATGCTCCTAGCGGCCGAGTCGCCGTACCTGAGCGCGCTGGTGACGACGGCCATGAGGGAGCGCGCCGGCCCCATCGAACTCAAGGAGCTCTCCGCCGCCAGCTTTGCCGCCGCGCTCTCGTTCATGTACACGCGCCGCTGCACGCTCGGCTCCCAAGATGCGCTGCAACCCCTGCTGCACGCTGCACACCTCCTCCGCGTGCCGCCACTGCTGGCCGCAGCCGAGGCCGCAGTCGCCGAGCGCATCGACGCATCGACCTGCCTGCGCGCCCTCGGCCTCGCTGAGCACCTCAGCCTCGCCGCCCTCGCCAACACGGCGCAAAAGCTCGCGCTGCAACACTTCGGCACGGCGGCGGAGGCGGAGGATGGCGCGGCGCTGCACACCCTGTCCGCCGAGCAGCTCGGTGACATCATCGCCTCCGACGACCTCGCCGTGAGCGACGAGTCGGTTGTCTTGGAGGCGGTCAAGGGCTGGCTGGCAGCGCAGCAGCCAGCGGCGTCGCAGGCGACGGCCGGCGCGCTGCTCGCGCACGTGCGCTTCGCCGAGCTCAGCAAGGAACAGAAGGTGGCACTGGACGACGAGCCGCTGCTGCAGCAGCACTTCAAGATCGTCGCCACGGCGTACCGCGAAAAGATGCACGGCGAGGACACGCCGCGCGCGAGGCCGCGTTCGGGTTCCTTCCGCTGCTGCCTTCAGTACGACGACCTGAGGGTGGGCATGATGGTGAAGGTGCACCCGGACCGCGCCTTCGTGGAGGAGCAGTGCCGAAAAGTGGTGGCAGGCGCTACAAAGAACTGCGGCTGGGCCGTCAATATGACAAGCACCTGCGGCAGCACCTACCGCGTCGCGGAGCTCCGCGAAAATAGTTGTTCAGCTAGGTTGGACATCCCTCGGGTGATCTGGCACTTACCCTACACCGTGCTGCAGATCGTGTGCGACGCGTGACTTTGATGTGACAGGGCGCGTGCGGCTGCGAGGGCGCGTGCGGCGGCGAAATCCCGCCCCTGCACGCGTGCCGCACGTCATCGGGGATGCGAGATCCCTCCTTGCTCGTTCGTCCTTCGCTCTCTTTTACCCCCCACCCCCCCCATCACGCGCCCCCACCCCACGCGCTCGGCTCTTGGTCTCGGCATGCGCCGGCGGTGCGCGACGCTGCGATGGGCTCCGCCGACTTTAGCATGGACCATTTGAACTGCCCTGAACCCTGTAGTCTGTAGACGCCATGCAGCAAGAAGGGCCAAGAACGGCACCAGATACCGAGCGCTGGACAGCGAGCGCGCTGATGAGCAGCAGCTGTAGGCTGTAGGTGACGGTAAACTGTCGTAAGGTCTGTTGGCTGGGCACTGCT